AGCATTTAATGTTAGGCACTGATATCACAACCAAGGGGGCTGACCATGCCAGTGGTTTGAGACAGACGGCAAAAGTTTAGTACCTAGGACTGATGACTTGGAATATAGTGATTATTCAGAAGAATTGCTTTTAGCAGACTTCAGGAGAGAATGAGTCTGATCCTGCTGCTAAACTGAGTTTTCTGTGTCTGAGCATGTTGTGGGCTGACGGGGAACTTTGTATATTTTTGGAAGTTATACCAAGAAGATTGTCTTCTGAGTTTCCAGAAGTATTATCCCTACTGACGTCCATTACAATAAAAAAGCAAAAAGAATTGCAGGAAGTCATCAGGGTAAAAGAAAAGGAAAAAAAAAAAGGCAATTCAGTTGTGAAGGAGAAACTTCCATTTGATTCAAAGCTATTCAATGTTAAAATTGGTTTGAAACTTTTCTAAAAAAATTTCACTAAGAATTAATTTCCGTTTTCTTTTCTCCTTATTGTTTGGCAGTCAAGGTTGCAGCTAGATCACGCTATCCCAAAGACCCATTTGAGTTCAAGAAGAAAACTCCCAATTCTCGGCTTGTGACCGAGCCAGGTGAAGGAGGACTGGGAACCATCCCCATTTTTAATCACTGCACTGCGCCCCATAATGTTTTACTTTACCATGCTAAGCTCAGTTGAAGAAGAGAGATGCACTCCTGTGGATTTCAGCTTGCATTTAGCTTGCTGGGCAGCAAAACACCAAAAGGGAAAACCATAAAAACAATTAATGATAATTAAAACGGCCCCACCCCCAAACTGGCAGCTTGCGCAAGACATTAGTCAGAAGCCCTGTTAGCTAGATGCCTTTGTGTTCAAACCACTTTGCATGACTCTTACTCTGAGTGACTCCAGTGTGAATATGACATTACTAATGACCTGCTAAGTGTGTTCAGATGTGGGTTTCTCCAGATGTGGTGATTAATAACATAATGGAGATAGCGGTTGACTCATGTTTATGAGTTGTTTGCCTTTTATTACGTTTCCAAGTTTATTTGCTTTGAACTGTTTTTTAACTCCAGCCAAAAAACTCACCTTAAGCCTTAAAGGGCATCATCCCCTTAAATCTCACTGAGGAAACAGGGAAGAGAGAATGTGCCCCAGGCTAGAGCTGAGCATCGGGCCCATCCTATGTAGGCATTAGACTGAATTAGGGAAGGCTGGGAGTTGCAATCATTGCCCCATTTCACTCCAAAGATCGTAAAGAGGCTTTGGTAAACCCTAACACAGTGTTTGCAATCTGGCGAGTCTGATAAAGGAAGATATTTCTTTAAAAAAAATCTAGTAAAATATATGATCATTTTGAAGTAAACCCAGAGTTCTGGCCATAGTTTCTGGAAGACGTTGCCTTGCTTTTGCTTTAAAACAGAAAGCTGATGAAAAGTCGAGTAAAATGTTGTTACAGATGTTCAACTCTGCATTAAGGCTGTTGGAATTACCACCACATCTTAAATCAATTCCCAGAACATTGTCTGGAGGTTATGTCATTGAAATAACGTATCCTCTTTAGTCAAGTATAAGCAAACATGTTAAAACATCATTGTAACTTTAAATTAAACTCTAGCGCAAACCAGGGGATCTGAAGCCTCATTAGACTTGCCTGACATTTTTCTAGCACTGAGTCTTCCCAAACTGTAAAACTGTTAGATTCAGTGCCTATTAGACAAGAGAGCGCTGGGAAGTTACAACAGCACATTAAGTGTTATACTTAGGGATGTGCAAAAACAAGCCCTTGAATTTTATGAGTACTTGGAGACTGGATGGAGTTCAGCTCCTATAAAAATTCCACGTTAGATTCCTGAACTTGTTTGTGTTCTAAAGAAGTCAGGTTTCTTTAAAGGATCGTATCTTTATGTGGCTTCCGCAGCACGAAGGCAAGTGAAAGTGCCAGAGATGGAGGTGTATTGTAATTAGCCAAAATGTGGGTTAAATAAGAGCTTGTAAATGCGCATCATCGTGAAGTAGTGGCCCATTACTTCAACACATTTGTCTTTCATGAAAGTGAGTAAATTTAGGTCTCCCTTTTAATTCCATTTTTATTCCTCTCATGTAGTCACCGAAGCCATGAAATGAAAATTATATTTTATAGCTTAACTAAAAGTTTTCCTAGATCTGCTTTCTTTAAATATGCAGAAATTGATAGGATCCATATAAAGGCTAATAATTAAATATAGTTTATATCCTACTTATGAAAAAGAAGTTATCACTGCCTTTCTTGAGGGGCCTAAGCCATATGTAATGGCCTCCATTACATAGCGTTCATATATTTAAGCTGGAGACATTTTCCCCTGTCTCTTCAGGGAACAGATCTGCATTTTCAGGCTGTGAGTGCAGGAGGAAACCTTTAAACACAAGTTTCATTTTGGAGAACGAATCTCAGTTTAAATGCAGTATGATTGTGATGGATGATCTTTCTGAGTTGCAATGAAAATAAATAGTTTCTTTACATAGAAGAGGCACAACTTTTCTACCAGAATGAGGTGTCTCCCTGGAGCTGGCTAACAGGTATTAACTTGCAGCTCTCCCATCTGAAGATCAGTGTAGGTAAACAGCTAGCGATGAAGTGTAAAGATAATGGCCACTTAACCAAAGAAGATTATTTGTTATAGGCCCCGTGCAAACAGGGAAGCAAAGGCTAAGCAAAAGAATCCCACGGACAAGCTAGGGAGGATGACTTCTGTTCAGGTCTTAACTCATCTAGATTCATTGTGTAACTGGACACAACCATGGTAACATCTGGTGACCTTGAAAAAAGCTAGCCATGATAGACTAGGTTAGATAAAAGACCTTTGGATATGGGATTATAACCTTAAGAAGGCTAACTGAATTATAATCTCAAGATAAGAAAAACAGAACTTGCACCCTGACTAGAGCAACTCACATGCACTCACACAAACACACATGTTATTTGGTCCAGCATGCTACACAACCAATCTAGGTCACCCTGAACACAATACACCAATTGCAAGTGGCTCATATTAAAAGATGACCTTGTCTTATAGGTCTAGGCAGTGCAAGACTTTCTACTTCATTCTAAGATGGGGAAAGGGTGAAAGTACACACACACACACACACACACACACACACACACACACACACAGCCTTTCTACCCCATTATTGCCTTGGATGCCTGGTCCCCTATCCCATGAAAGGAAGATGAATTCAGGTCAAGCTCAGAGTGCCTGTTTGCTTGCCGAGAGATGCATATCAACTCTAAGTGATTTTTTTCAATACCATTTATGTGGCTCGTATTTATTTCCTTTAATCTTTTAAGTGCTGTTTAGTCTCTGTGTGATTTGCTTTGGATACTCATTTCTGATAAGATGCGATATCATCCCAGCCACATAGTCTCTGCCTGGAGCTCTAAGTGACTGATACGGTCGCAGCCTGAGAGTGGGCCCTGGTGGGTGTCAGAGGGAGCAGGTGGTAGAGGGGGTGGGCTGTGGGCGTTTGCAGGTGCTTTCTTGCCTTCATTTCTTCTGGTCTTACTCTCCCCTCACACCATAGTCATTCCCTTTTTCTGCGTCAGCCAGAATTTAGACAAGACCAGACTGACAGTAGGATAGGAAAGTGTAAAATGTGTAATACTTTGAAGCAGGTTCAGAGGGTAGATTATTAAAATCCCTTTAGAACCATGTATCATAACCTACTAAATATATTTAGGGTTTTCAGGGAAGTACCATATAATGCATGCTCTAATATGGGTCTTCCTGGATAATACCAAGTAGCTGACATGGCATTTTCTCCCCCATCTAAGACTCCTACACCATTAACATAGATCAAGCTTCTTTTGATGTCATCACTGCTAATATTTCTCTTCTTAGCTTTAAGGTAACTGCCGTGCATTCCGAGTTTCAGTGGTGCTTTCCTCCTAGTCTGTGTTGCAGTCAACTATAAGAATCTGAAGATCCTATTTTTCCTTCTTGAAATTACAGCTTTAGCCTGAATTGTGGGGGTGGGGAGAGGAGGACTAGAATTTTGCCGCTGATGCCCTTGGGTGACGGGCTGGGTTCGCATCTGCTAATTATCAAGCAGTTCTCTTAAAAAGAAGCATGATGCAGGCTAATACATCTGCAAAGCTTATTAGTGGGTGTCTTTGGGCAAGAGCAGTAGAGCGTGCTGTGGTGTTTCTGAGTGAAGCTTCACATTGCTTAGCGATCTATGTGGTTTAGACGTTTGGAAAACAGCTTTTGGTTTCCAATCCCCTGTGCTGCCTGCCGCATCATCAGAGATTTCATTCAATGGCAACCTCCTCCTTCATTCCGGGGCTCTCCGCCAACCCCACCAGCCCCGATGCTCCTGTCTTCATGAGTTAAGAAAGGACCCCACTGGCACAGCCCCACGAGCCCTCACTCCTGGCGGTTGGAGGGATAAGAGCTGAGTTGGGCTGGGGATTCTTGAGCCAGCATGCGCCAATGTGCCATGACCTGACTGAAACATTGGTTGTCAAGGCCTTGGATCCTTGCCTCTTTTCAGTGCTCTTTCTCTGGCATGCAGGGATTAGGAACCAGCTAAGTTGGTTCATCTGGAGAAGCAGCAGGCTGGCAGTTATGCTGATATTTCAGATACAACTTTATTTCTGATTTTGGTTACAAGAAAGCGCACTCAATTACTGGGCAAAGCAAAGTAACCAAAATTAACTCTAAGAATAATGATTGTTGATAAGTTTTTTTTTTTTGATATACAGATAAATCATGATTTCTTTTTCTTTTTCTTTTTCTTATGGCAGGGTATTTACAAACTGTTTTAGTCTATTTAAAGTGCATGTTCAAAGGCTGGAGTGTAAAGAGGTGATGCCTTCACCTTCTCTAAGTCAGCCTCTTTGACTAACACATTTGGTCTTTGTCATTGGGTCCTAAAAGACAGCCATGAATTCCTAGTGAGTGACTGAGCCTTGAGTGTGTGTCCTTTGATATTTTGCCTGTATTTCACAGTCTGCCCTCAAACTGTTCATAATCTCATGAGCTGCCTGTATTTCCAGTTGAAGATGAGCAGCCGTCAACACTATCACCAAAAAAAAAGCAACGGAACGGAGGCATGCGGAACTCACCCAACACCTCGCCTAAGCTGATGAGGTAAGGAGAGGGGCTAGTTGTACATGGTTTGCACACGGTTTCCCTCTTAGCCCCTTCTCTTCCTCCCTTCGCCCCCTCCTCACCCTGCCAGGCCCAGAGCCTCCCCTCCCTAGCAAGCCCAGATCGGGGGAGGGGAGCGCGATCGTTAGATGGCTTCTTAAAGGCTGGAGTATTTATTCTGTCAGCTTGTCAGCAGTTAATGATAGAGCTGAAAAAATTCTGTCATGAAAAACAGTTTGAAAAGCTGTTTGAAAAATACATAGGCTTTAAAGTCTTAGCTGTCACCATGTCCTGTCTGTGTGTAGTTCCTAAACAGCAGTGGCACTAATGACGGCGGTAACCAATCAGAGGAACTCGTGTGGTTAGTTTGCCTGCGGCAGTCTCTTTCTGCTGGAGTCCCTCCGAGGACTGTTTTCTGTACTTAAGGCCATATGTGAGATGTATCATCACAATCAAAAATGAACCTGAAGATTACCTTCCTTTTATCCTGTCGATTGAAATCAAATTTCTGTTAATTGATTTTGACTGATAAAAAAAAAAAGTCTAATAATCTGTGGACTTGCCAAAGCAAAGTTCAAAAGTAATCCAGTTCTGCTCAGGCTAAAAGCAATATTAATTATGAAATACAGCATGCATGTGCATGTTCCTTCCCTCCCTTCCCTTCCCTCTTCCCTTCTTTCCTTCCTCCCTTCCCTTCCCTTCCCTTCTTCCTTCCTTCCTTCCCTTCCCTTCCCTTCCCCCCCTCCTTCCTTCCTTCCTTCCTCCCTTCCTTCCTTCCTCCCTTCCTTCCTTCCTTCCTTCCTTTCTTCCTTCCTTCCCTCCTTCCCTCTCTCCCTCTCTCCCTCCCTCCCTCCCTCCCTCCCTCTTCACCTTCCTTCTCTTCTTCCGCCCTTCCTCCCTCCCTTTCTTCTTCTCTTTCTTTCTTCCTCACTTATTTCTTGACTGTGGCTGCCTCTAGTAAAGAGCAAGTGAAATCAGATTTTACCAGTGTTCTGCAGTTTTCTGTTCCTGGATTGTCCATCTTTTATCTTCCTTTTTTGTCTTCAATTGATCTGCCAATCCCAGCATTTATTTCCTCCAACGTCCTGACTCTACCACCCAAATAAACTAGGAGTGATTTCAGATTTGCACTGCTCACCCTACATGATACTGCCGTGGAAATGCCTGCCATCTTGACATTACTTTTCTCTTTTCATGACCACTGGCCACTCTCCTCCCTTTGATTTTTGAAATATGATAGTGATTTCCATTCCCTACCTTCAATCACATTTTCATGTCGCCGGCCCTCCATGTCCACCTTTCTGGAAAATAGGCAAGGACAGTCTTTGTTCATGTGGTTGAAAGCATGGGTTCTCAGTGGAAGACTCACCCCGCCTAACTCCTTTTCCACATCACCATCTATTCCTGTTAAATGTTTCCTTAAAACTTCTCTGCCTTCCCGTTCACCGTTCACCCAGCCTTCCTTGGGTGTTGCTGATTTACATGCTTGTTTACAGTTTATGAGGAGGAATAAAATGTGCCAACTGCCAAGCTTTTTGTTTTTATGATGCCAGTTGTCATGCCAGCATTCATTTCCTATTTACTCACCTTTAGGTAATCGCCTTATCTAATGCTAATAGTTATTCCCATTTAAAGTAGAGAAAAGCCCAGGCACTTTCCTTTGCCTAAATTTAGAGAAGCAAATAAATAAATAAAAAGAAGTCTGAAAAATCTGAAACCTTTGGAGCCAAATTCCCTGTCCCTGTTTGCTATGTAAAGTATGGCTCATTTCTTTGATCTTGAGTAATAATAATTCTGAGGAGTTATACTGTTTTCATATGCTTCAAAGCTGTGTCAAAGTTTTGCTGCTTAAGGGTACTTCTTTATTCTGTTGGCTCTTGGGTACCAAGATGACAGGTCTTCTGTATAAGGTGGAGGCTTTTTTAAGTCGTAGCCTTCAGCAAAACATCAAATTACCAAATCCAGGGTAACATACTTCTACACAAATGCCTTTCCTGTAGATGTATTATACCATATATATTAAATACTTTAGTGTTACACGCTACATTTTATGTGCAATAGAAAGTGATGGTTTGAGGTAGCCTTGGGGGGACTTTTTTTCCACAAGCAGAAAAAGCTAGTGTATATCGTATCAAGTATGGTTTTTACAGGACTTTCTGCCCGAAGGCCTTTGTAAATAAGTAATGATCAACAGATTGGCTGTGGGTTTTTGAAAAGCATGCCTATGTCAGTTTGCATGATGGGGGAGAATTTTCAAAGTGGATCTTGCTTTCATTCCCTGCCGGAGAGGGGCTGAGGGAGGCAGTCATCCTGGGCTGAAGCTGTCTGCTTCATGGTATATCAGAATTGCTAAACGTGGGTCAGGTGGTGAGCGGAAACTTGCCAAGCTGCAGAACTCGGGCTTCTCGTGTTGGTTGCCTTTGCGCTGTTGCTAAGGCCTCAGTTCCTGTCGCTGGGATGCCTTATCCCACCTGCCCACCATGGTCTCCCTTGCACCCAGCTGGAATACGTCATCCCATCACAAGTGAGAAAGTCTTAGACGCTCTCCTTTACCATGTCTTTTCATGTCCCAGGTGCTCCACATCCTCTACCTGATCTGGGAGCAAAGATGGGCCCCTGCTGAGCCCTCTCTCCATTTCCCTTTACTGCCAATGTACAGAAAGACCCCAGGGCCTTTTGGTTTGCATTTGAATATCTGGCACTGGCAGGGAAGTCATGGGTCCATTTTTGCTAAGTCCCTTTTGTCGACTGGCAGAAAACAAGGGCTCCCCCAGTTCCCTGTGGCTTTTCCAGTTGCCCCCACCTCTTCCACCACCTGATTTCTACTCTCTGATAGATGGGGCTTTCAGGTCCTATTCCTCATGACCTGAAAAATCCATGAAGGAAGCTAATGACTTATTTGAAGTGGATTTTTCGACCTGAGTTTGTGGCTTGCAGTTTGAGCGAATCAATCATTCTGAATGTGGGCAGGTTTTAGTGGCCTATGGGCAGCAATAGGAATAGCTCCAAGAGGAACTGGAGAGCCCAGAATGGGCCAGGATGGGCTTTAATTTACCACTGTGGCTTCTGCAAATAAAACAGCTCCTGTGTGAAGGCTCCTTCCAAATCATCTGCCAGCAGGAGATGCAACGGGGACTCTGCCCTAATGGACTTTGTCTCCCCTTTGTTCTGGTATCAGGCTTCCCCTAGTGTTTGTCACTTAACTCTCTGCACGATCATTAGGTGAACAGCCTCGTTTGTATGTCTGGATCCTGAGGTAGTTTGTTTTTGAGTCACCTCGACAGAAACAACCTTCACGTCCAGACAGAGCCAAATGGCGAGTGTCTGGGCCCCAAGCCGAGGACACGCATGTAATGATGGATAAATGTTGGCCCCACGCCTGCCAAGGAGGAGTGAGCCATGGAGGCTCCTGAGTCCCCGACTCCCTCTGCCTGTTATTTCCTTTCCTTGCTGGTCTCTTAATGTGGAATTATTGAAGGAGCCTCCCCTAGATTCCTCTAAAATCATCAAGCACCCATTGCCCAGTTCTCCCTGCTTAGTGGGGTGGTGCCTTGTAAGGGTAGCTACATCTTTCCTCATTTGTAAAGCCTTAGGGGGGGCACACACTTTGTCTCTAAATGCCTAAGTCAAGAGTTCTTAATTTGGGGGCCTTCCCAAACCTATGAACCTTCAATGAAAACTTTCTAGGAAGTCTCTCTAGGAAAAAAATAAAAGTACACTGAATTCTGTTTTGACTGCAGTTGAAGCAGATTTTCACGGATTCCTGAAATCTCCATTCAAGATCCCTGGTTACGATCACATTCAGTTTATTCCAAAGCCACCTTCAAGTAGTTGCATTTACAAATGCTTTTTGGGTGATGAGATTTCTCCAGTGGGTGGGCGGCATGGAGTAAATGCCTGGGTTTTCACGCTGAATGCTCACATGGAAACCAAAAAGTCTGTGTGCTTCGTCTGCCTGCTTTTAATCCTTTTCTCAAATTAATTCCCATCCAGCAAATATTCAGTGAGAGCCTACTATGTGCAAGTTGTTGTGGAAGTTCTTTAAGGGATCTAAAGTCTAGCACACTTTAGGTCCCTTAAAGAACTTCCGCACAGTCTAATGGATTAGACCAGATCCCTGTCTTCAAAATGCTTATAGTTCAACAGAGGAGAAGACAAGCACATACAAGCACAGAACTGAGTAACAACAAGTTGGGGGTTCCACTGGCATGGGCCGTGAGAACAGAAAGAGCTGTCATTACCTCTGCTTTGGGAGGCTCAGCCTGGTTTAGGAGGAGGTCTTATTGAACCTAGTTCTATACAATGAGGAGGATGCTCTACTAATGGTATTACCTCTTTAGGTTTACCAGATGCCAGGCATTATTCTGAGACTGTGTATGCCTGTGACTCACTGAATCCTAACTACAACTCTGTAAGTAGATATTACTCTTGCCCCCATTTTATAGGTGAGGATGTTGAGGCACAGAGATGTAAAGTCTGGTAAATCTAGGTAAGTTTTACCTAATTAGGAAGATGGAGGACATAGGGACAGTGCTCAGACTACAGTAAATGCCTGGGTGTGGCTGAAGACAGGGGTCTTTAGAGTGGCCTAGATGGAGTGGAGAATGTAAGAGTATTCTGTCACCCAATCATGAAGGCTTTGTGTGTCATAGGCATTGGGGAATCCTTTACGGTTTTTTAGGAGGTGATAACCTAACTTGTATTTTGGGAGAATCATTGGTGACAGGAGAGGAGAAGGTTTGGAGTCCTCCCTCAGGATATTTCTGAGACACATACTACATAAGCACAGAGGTGTGAAATAGAAGGCCCATCCAACCCCAGCCTCTGCTAAGGCCATTTGGGTGCTAAGCCGTTCAGGGTTTGCTGTAGAATAGTAGGTCAGGACTGGGATAGACAGTTTTCCCAAGGACACACATCATTCCCGACATCAGTCCTGAGACCTGGAGTGAGATAGAGTGGCACGGACCATGAGGATTTATGTAGGATGTATCAGGTGGACA